AATTTATTTTTGGCCTATTATTTGCATAATAATACAGTATTGTGATCTCTTTTCTTCACCTAAAAAACAGCATGGGTTGTAAAGGATAGTTGAGATCATTGCAAGCTGCTGATCTACTGGGAAACTGAGTTTGGTATTGCTTTCCGTAAAAATATACACTAACCGTATTCAAATCATTAAACATTTGAATCACCTATTTTGAAATGGCCTGTGTTCAGTGCAAAACTGTTTCTTGCTGATCTACTGGGAAACTGAGTTTGGTATTGCTTTCTGTAAAAATATACACTAACCGTATTCAAATCATTAAACATTTGAATCACCTATTTTGAAATGGCCTGTGTTCAGTGCAAAACTGTTTCTTGCTGATCTACTGGGAAACTGAGTTTGGTATTGCTTTCTGTAAAAATATACACTAACCGTATTCAAATCATTAAACATTTGAATCACCTATTTTGAAATGGCCTGTGTTCAGTGCAAAACTGTTTCTGGGTATGGTTTTACATTTGAAACGGTCTGTTTTGACCATTTGGGAACTGTGAGCTCAAAACTGCCAGGTTTCAGACATCTCAAAACATGATGGAAACTGCCTTTTGTGGGTTCAGAATGGGTTGACTTCAAATCGGTTTGCATGTCTTTACTATTCGCTCTATTAAATAGGAACCTTTGTAAAAATGCTCTTTCTGTCTCTCAGAACTTGACAAGGCTGGAAGAGAAGGAGAAGGATGTAGTGAGCGCCCTACGCTACTTTAAGACCATCGTGGACAAAATGGCAATCGATAACAAGGTGTTGGAAATGTTGCCCGGATCTGCAAGTAAGGTTCTGGAAGCCATTTTGCCCCTGGTGCAGACGGACCCACGGATTCAGCAGAGGTGAGTCATGATGTGGCATCCTGACTAAGAAGGTTGGAGAGTTTGGGTTGTCACTTTCCCCAGAATCTGCAACAGAGATTGGGGTGATCATTTCTACCTAATTCTTCCCCTCTGGATGCTTTAGGTCATCTTCAGTGTCTTACGTTGCTAAGCAGTTTCCTTAAACCACATCATATATTTGCACCAGCAAGTCTAGTTGAATTTCCACGGGTTGTGTTCATACCATACTTTACACCAAGTTGCAGCCACGTTTACAGAACTTGTAAAACTATTGTTAATCTTGCTGAGGTTTGTGGGGGGAATGTTAATCTAGAATTTTGCCTGAACTTGTCCCATTTTATTCACTTGATGTATCATGACATCACCAGGTGTTTTCTGGCCATTCCCTCATTCTTTGGGGTCATTATTCTTAGATTCTCCCATCCTGCTTCTGCTGGCCCATTGCCACCTTCCTTAAAAGGGAGAAAGCCCTTTGGGCATCTCACCAGGTTGTCCACTGATAGCCATCTCTGATGGCTGTGGTCTGCTCTGAGATCAGAGACAGCTCCATCAATCATCACCAGAGTTCTAACATCACAGAAGTCTTGTCCTTCTCCATTGAGAAGAAGGATTTGCACTGATGTGGCTTGCTTCTGGTGGGGCAACCAAGGTGATCATAGTTCCAGCCTGTCTTTACTCATGCAGGCTTATCTATTGGGGGAAGCAACCTGTGGCTCTCTCTGTGTGGCTTGGATTACGGCTCTGGATTCTTCCCATTAGACAGGCTGGCCAGATGCAGGGAATAGTCATTCAACAACATCTGGAGCACCCCAGGGAGTCTTTACCTAGTCAGTCAAGTCTCCCTTGAATTAAGCTCAACTCTAGGTGACTTCATGGACATGATGTTTTCTTGGCAATAATAAGTGGTTTGCCCTTGTCTTCTCCCTAGATGTTTCTTCAGCTTGCCAGTCTAGCTTTTATCCCTTGGGTTTCCTAGTAGATGCCCACCCAAGGACTAACAGGCCCAACCCTGCTTAGCTGTTGGAGTTCAGCCACGGTTGGGTGGATGGTGTCATCTCTTCATGGAAGCATCCATATGGTTTTCTGGCAGCAGTATGGAAGTAGCTTACTGTTGCCTTCTTCGGAGATATTTTTTCAACTTCCTAGTCTAACCCAGGATTTCCTGATTGTCTCCCATCCAGGGACCGACCCTCCTTAACTCCCTGAGACCAGCCAAGCGCTGCCCTCTGCTGTTGCTACATACCAATGTATAAATTCAGAAAGTTGACACCTGTTTAAATGCGGAGGAGTTCTAAATATAAAAAAATTCCAGAGCAGTGCATTGCCGATTCCCAGCAGTGGATACCATAATGCAAGTCTCTCTGCCTGTTCTCCCATATGATTTCTGCTTCTTTCACCTCTGCAGTTCTGCCATCACTTCCTGTTACAGCCGGGTGTATCAGAGCCTGGGAAATTTGATTCGCTGGTCCGATCAGGTGATGCTCGAAGGAATCAACGCTGAAGACAAGGAGGTGGTGAACACGGTCAAAGGGGTTATCAAGGCTGTTCTGGATGGAGTTAAGGTATGGGGTCTCCTTGGTGTGTTCCAGCAACACCTTTTAGAGCTACTAAGAGTCCTCAACCTGCTGCTCTCCAGGAATGTTGGGGCAGCTTCCAGAATTCCTATCCAACACGAGAAAGGATGACTTTATGGTTGGGTATCCCGTCAGCATCCCTGCTCCAAACTTAAGAACATGCTAATTTCTCAGAACTGACCATTGCAAGAATGAGATTCCAATGCCCCTTGGAAGCAGCTGATCACCCAATAAAGCACACTAATGGTAAAACCCCAGGCATCATCCATGGTGGTTAAATTTGCAATGACTTTCTTTCAATCCCAATTAGTGATTTACAGGAGGACTTTCCATACTGTAGTCTATTCCATTTTTGGTATGGAGGCAACGTTTGGAGTGAAGCCCTCTCTGTTAGAGTGAGCCCTCCAAGAGCTGGGCTGTACCATTAATTTTTGTGTTGAACTGTTTAAAGATGGTGGTATCTGGTTGATGGTAGTGTGTGTTGAAAATCCAGGCAGACAGTTCAGTTTCCACCACCTCTGACCACTGCAAGGCATATTCAATTCCCATTTTCCTTCCCCGTGTTTTTACGTTTTTGCCAAGGATGGCTTACAACTCTGCTGTAACATGTTCTGTACATTGGTGTACAAAAGTAAATCTGGATTACCTTGAAGAGAGTCTACCCTGTGACTTGGCTCCTTCTAAAGCTGGAGCAACAGACCTAACCAGAAACTGAAAGGCTCACCATGTTATACAAGGTGGGGTTACCTGCTGATTTCTCCTAAACAAGCCAGGAATTGCAAGAGGAGGACAAAGTGGGTTTGCAGTTCTGGCTAGGACACAGCATTGAACACTGGGAGCTGTGGTTTGGAGAGCACCATAAACGTTCCATTCTTGATTTAATTGGGACTTTGCGACATACCGTTCATTTGCAATAAGCCAGGATGTTCTAGGATTCTAGCC